GCACTGCCCCCCATAGAAACACCCTCGAGGGCACGTGCCCGCAGCCCGGGCCCAGCTCGAGGCGCTAGTTTCCGTCCCAGGCCCCACGTGCGTCAGACCTGCTACTGACACTGTGCTAATGACCCCTGCACCCACCCCCCCGCTTTCACAAACGAGGGAACGGGAGTCTTGGTGGCCTCCATGGTTGCTGGGCTCTGGCAGGAAGACCTGGATTGGAGCCGCTCTCTGGTCCTCAGAACCCCCTGGCCTCTGTCCCTCTTTAGCTCAGCGGTAGCCACTAGCCACTGCCTTCTCAGTAGATCTACTGGGCCACAGCCAAGCTCTTTCGTTTGCATCTGGTCCAGCAGCAGAGCTAAAGTGGTCCACAAAGCCCCAAATATTCAGTCTCTGGAAAGTTTGCCAAGGAAGAAGCTCCTCCCCAACTCACCAGCCAAACCCAACTGCCTCTCCCATTCTGCTCTCAGCACCTCTGCCCCACCCGGGCTCCCACGCTGCCCTGCTCCAGATACTCCAACTAAACCGGGTCCTCAGCCCCCAGACAACAATCATAACCTCATGCCAGCTGCTCTGAACTGGCCTGTTGGCCTGGTCTGTGCCCAACCCCCGGGTCAGACCAAGCTCTAGGGGGACAGGGCCACCGGCTACCAACAAACCCCTGGCGCCACCTGACGATCAAGCAAGCAGTCACCGCGGGCGCCTGGAGGTCTTGAGTGCATGTGTGTGTTCAAACCCAGTCTGCTCTGAACACCTGGCCTGGCCAACAGGCCTGGGGAGGTGTGGGCGCATGTTACATACGTGATGGCAGGTGTGCTGCACCGGCGTGTGTGCACGTGCGCACCCAGACCCGCGATGGCACTGACAGCGTCTTCAGTGTTGTCAGACCAGTGCTATCAGAGCAAATGTGTTCTCAGATTCGCTAAGCGAAGACGGCAGAGGCTTCTGGAGTGAACTGCCTACAAGCTAAGCAGCTGCAGCAGGCAGGAGGCACTGTCACAGACACAGCAGGCGGGCCCCGGGAGAGCACCCTTCAATCAGCCCCACCAGGGCCTTGCAGGGCCCCACCGGCCACTTCCTGGCACTCTAGATGCCACCCCACCCACACCATGGGCCCCTCACAGCTCCCCTGGCAGAGCCAGAACACAGCCCCCCAGTCCCCGAGCAGACACCAGAGCCAGCTGCTCAGGGCAGGCTCGTTCAGCAGGACCTCTCAGCCAGCCTTGCTGAGAGCTGCCCGTTGCCAGTGGAGGGGACACGCTGCCCCCTCCTCAAAGGCAGCAGTGGGGCACAGAGGGAAGACAGGTGCCAGGACAGAGAGACCCACACAGCAGAACCAACACACAGGCCTGTGCAGTGACCCCCACCCCAGACACACCCACCCACTCAGTCAGTCAGAAAGAGTCACACACACGCTGCCTGGCACATCCAGACCCTGGCCACACCTGCCCTTGAGGACACATCACAGATGCACACGGGTGCACACCTGTAAACACACACAGGGCCACCCTCAAGAGGAGGGGCAAGGGAACACTTGACTCAAGCAAACTGCACTGTGCACACA